TGGATCCTCCTGAGCCGAGCCTTCAACGCACCTGAGGCTCGTTCCATCATCAGAGGATCCACAGTATAAAAGCTGTCTTCAGACCTTGCCTCGACACCGCAGTGTTGAATCTAGTTGGTTAGCACCTGAGCCAAAGAACCTTCTGAGAATCTTTTATTGCTCTCTGACTCCAGCGAGGATTCTAATCCTTTTGTGTCTCTGTTTCCAGGAAACCTGTTTTTCTCTGTGAGCTCTGGATGAGCTTAGACTGCCGAGCCTGCCCTCTGAGCCAAACCCGAAGACACTGGATTAAGAGCTGGAAACCCAAAGCCAAGGTCTGCTCCCTTTTCAGAAGTAAGACGCTGAAGCAGTTATCGGACTCTGCTGAAACAAACCTTCTCTGGACCCAACAGTTCCTGTCTCTGAGCTCAAACTGGAACCCTCAAGGTATTAACCTGAACATCACAAACCATAACCCAATTGCTCTCAAAGCTAACTGCTCTGTTATCTACACAGACTCCAGTGAACCAGTCCCCAGGCCAGAACCAGTTCCAGACAAAATTCCATGTGCTTGTGTACAATAAACATTGTTAAAACGTTTACTCTTGTTTCCGTCTCCGTGGTGTTCTGCATTACTGGGTCTCATCAGTGAACCCATCATGACAATAAACAGAGATGTAATTCATTGACTTTTGTAGACATCTAGTCACCTACAAAACAGCAATCCATGAAGGCTGCATTCTCAGGAAGTTAAAGGAATGCAGTCAGTCAATCAATCAGAGCTTTAACATGTTATGTCATCATAAAAAAAACTGTCTCACTCTAAACATGTGACCTGTTAAGAAGGAGGTGAGGGAGTTATTCTTTTCATCCTTCAATTGTAAGAGATCATTATCACCTTCGACTTGGAAAGACAAAGATGGCCCGTAAGTAAAGCTTTGATTTTATAATCAGTTAAAATTTTTGTGTTACTTTTTCATTTTCTAATTCTTTTTTTATTTCTATTTCGGTCTGTAAACATTTTAATCATTTACAGTAATTCCTAATGTGCATCAGCTGCTTCTAATGTATGAAGGTTGCAGTGGACCCAAATGTAGACATACAGGCAGATAGCAGCATAATGAAAACAAATTTAAAAATAAAGGAGTTGGACAACATGAGAAATGGATAACAAAAATTGATGGGGGATTAACTGTTAAGAGTATTTCTAGTGTAAATGTTCATCACTAGAAGTTTAAACAGGTGAGCTGATGAACTCATTAACTACAACTTAGGAAGAACGTGGAACTGAGGCACAGAATGATAAACAGAAGCAGAGACTTAATAAAAAGAATTTTTAAAAGCCCAAATCCAACAGATCATTTCAGTACTCTTCCATAAGTGCACTTCTAAATTATGTTTTATACATTTCATACTGTATCTTTAGTGTTTGTCCGCATCCTAAACAAAGATTTTTTTCAGCGTTGCTTTGTTATGACATTGAAGAGTAATTTGTTTTTCTAATTGATTTTAAGAGTCTTAGATTTTATTCTTAGGCTACTTTTCTCTTATCAGAATCAATTACATAATAACTTTTTTGCTTGAGAGGCATCATGAAAGACCAGATGTTTTTACCTATCATCTGACGGAGCTTATTTTATATGTACTTTACTTCTGGCATGGCTAACAGTAAGAGCTTCATGCCTTTGAAGTTTTAAAGATGAATCATTGTAGTGATGGGAAAATGTTGCTATGCAATGCCTTGGCTGGTAGAAGTAGGGATTTCCAGAACCGGTTCCATGAGTTACTGAATTTCTCGTCATGGTTACATTCCCCAACTATTGCATACTTTAAAAGTGGGTCAAAACATTGGAACATAAATAACAATCTTAAAATAGTTTTTTTGCAATATTTTGCCTCATTTTACTTCAAAATGCTCAAAGAATAAATGGAATTTAGAGCTGAACTTCTCAGTTGGCAATTTAGTGAGGACATTTAACTGGAATATGCAGCTAATCAAATTTTCACACCATAAATCAAAACACATGAACAAATTCTTTTAAAAAGGGATTCAAAGAAACAAGTCAAACAATCATTCACACACTTGATGTGTTGAGGTGTTACTAGGAGGCTGTCAGGAGACGTAGCGCTTAAAGTAGGAAACAGACGCTGACAAACTGGCAGAAACATCACAGTAAAATCAATGATTTAGAAATAACTGTAAATAAAATGTATAGGTGGTGATATGGCTAAAGTTGATTTGACAAGAACTAAAAAAACAGCTAACAATCCAAAAAGGAAGGATAAGAAGTGATCCGCATACATAGCAGAGAACAGGTGGATGGTATGAGTTGACTTTCTATTTCTGAAAACAGAAATAGAGAATTCCTTTATTGTCCCCGTAAAGCACCACATGTAGAACAAATAAACTATGTACTTAATAACAGAGGAAGGAAGCAAAACATCAGGCATAAAGGCACAAAATAGATTTCAGAACATAATCTAGCTGGATGGTTCTCAGTCCTGGTCTTCAAGTACCACTGCCCTGAATGTTTTAGATTTCTTACTGCTACACACCTGAGTTATATAAGCATTTGATTGACAGGTTTCTGCAGCACTTGAAAGCTGCTAAAGAGGTCATGCAGTTATTAGAAGCAGGTGTGCTGCAGCAGAGAGAAATTTAAAACATGCAGGGAAGTGATTCTTGAGGAGCAGGTTTAAGAACCACTGATCTAAATGAAGGTTTTAAAGGAATAGTACACCCAAAACATGATTAGCCTTCATTTTCTACTCACCCCCATGCTGAACAACACTCTGGAGTACTTTTT